AAAGCTTTTACAAGTTGGTTGCGAAAATATCACGATTTTGGGAGGTATCACGATTTTAATTTCAACGCTTTGCGCTCGATATGTATGCGTACATGTTGTTTAAATGAAATATCGAAAAGAAGAGAACTTTCGCGAGGTAAAAATATTCGGATACTATAAATTTAACTCTCCCTGTGGATAATCTCGATCTATTTGTATCCCGGGTAAAATTTCACTCTTGAATTCCTTTCGAAAGAATTTTTATTTTCCCTGATAAATCTTCTTGCTATTTGTCCGAGTGATATAACAAAGCAGAGATTTTAATAAATATTTCACAGGTTCTCTCTCTCGTTAAATTTTGTTAAAACTTGAAACAGCGAAAAAAGATAATATCCAGGTTGGTATAGTTATAAAATGCGTGAAAAATTTCATATAAAAGTTTACTATTTCGTTCAATAATAACTTACTCATAACAGATAATTAAATGCAAACAATACAGAGATCTAAATATTCTCGCGACATGAAAATTTATTTCTTTCGTGCACTGTAAAATGTAAAACACTATGTTTCCTTATCTTAATTATTTCCTGATATAGCATAGAAATTGTCTGGCGACCAACCGTATCTAGAATTGGATTAATTAATTAAAATTGCATACACATTCGCAAGACACTTATCAGTTCAAACCAAGGATACTCTAAAAATAAACGTGACTAATACAGATAGAACAATTCCGTCGATCGAAAACTTATAGCTATACTGTAACGCTACACACGAAAACGAGCAACAAACTGTACATACTATCTAAACCGAGGACCTACACACACACACACTCGGAATATTTTTTTAGCCGAGCGATTCCGCGATTTTGTTTTTCCTTTTTTTGCGAGTCAATAGCGGTTCCATCCGATGTCTGTTCGCGACAATACAATTCAGCTTCGCACGAGACCGCCAGGACAACGGTAATTGAATTTTAAATGCGCTTAATTAGGTCAGCACCGGGTGCCGGCCCGACAATATAATGTCCCGATATAAAATTAAAATCTTCCTCGAGATTCGTGGATGGGGCGATGTGGCTCGATAAATGCGGCGTCGAACCCCTCCTCCTCTTCCCCCTCCTCACCCGATATCGAAATCATCGTCAATACGATATTTTCAATAATTTATATACGAAAGTCGAATGCGGATTTGCCTTGAGCTATTTTTATCGTCGATTTTTTTTTTTCTTCTTTTTTTGCTTACTCGTTATTATAAAGGGGAAGAGGAAAAAAAAAAAAATTATGGTATTATGGCTTCTCCGTTGACGAGCTGGATCTCTCTTATAATTTTCATATTCGGGGAGAAAAATATTTGAAAAATATTTAACGCGCCTCGTCCATTAATTCTCAGATTGGTCTTCAGGTGCGATATTTATTTGAAAAGCGTATAGATTTCTGGACTTTTTTTTTATTATAAAAATGAAAATTTGGTAATTTTATATCGTTTATAAAATGATAAAAGAAAATTATACATTGGACGAGTCGAACTGCTCAATTTTAAATGTTTAATAACCGAACTGATCGATAAAATTTGCTTATTAGATTACAAATAATTGAAGTTTGGATTGGATGAAGATGGAAACAGAGATGTTTATTTTCGGGCTTTAGAATCGATCTTCTAAAGAATGTTAATTGAAAATTAACACCTCCTATATCACAATTTTCAGATAATAATGTAAAGGAAACTTTGGAACTCAAATAGATGATTAATTAAACGTGTTTACATTAGATAATAATAAATATTTTCACAATATACGCGAATTCTTCGCCGGATCGTTTAAATTCAGAATAAGAAAATTTCGAATTTCAAAAACTTGCAAAAATTTCCTGTTCAAATTCTTGAATCTTTTCAAGAGAAGATTTTCACCTATTTTTGAATTAATTTGACCGAATTTTAACAACTTATATAAACTTCAATAAATATCCAAAAAAAAAGAAAAAACATGGGACACAAATGATCCAAATTGATGCAAAAAAATATATTTGCTCAAAATTATATTCAATTTGATTATTTTTCTTTTGCTTCCACTTTCTCACTCACAGTATATCCTAAGATTTTATCTAAAATTCAAACAAAAATTTCAATACAATACAAATTGTATTGAATTAAATTTTAAAATCTAAGAGGGAGGGGTGCTATGTTACCATTTTCTCCTCTTCCTTCGTTCTTTCGTTAAATTGTTATTTCGATTCGAGGAAACGATGGCACAATGTTGTTAGAGAATAGAGAAAAGCCAGGTGTCACGGGGTTGTCGATCGATACATCAACCTCGAAGGTCTCGCTTCCGCTTTCGGCTCTTATCTGACCAGATAAGGAGCAACGCGGGTCCCATTGGAAACTGTTCGGTGGCGCTTAACGTCCCATTCGTGAGTTATTGCCCGCCACGCTCGGGGTCATTAATAATTCGCTAATATTAAGATTGATTTCGAGCCACGGAAGGCGACGAACACGAGCTAACGCCAGATTTCGCGAAACTTTCTCGTTGCACCGCAGTCAATCATTCGCCTCGTACATTACGATATTACGATAAAACTGGGAAACATTTGGCCGGTGACTGACTTGAAGCGTGCCAGAAATATAATTTCGAGAGGATCGTTACGATCCTTATATTTCTTCTCCCTCGACGTTTCTAATTTCAATGGACACGAGGTATAGGAAAATTGCACGATACGAATATTAATTATGTTTGATCCGATTTTGTCGTCGATTTTTTACGGCTTCAGAATTTAACTGTTCTTCGTTCGACGATGTGCTTTTCTCGAATTTTGTCGAATAGTATCGAAAGTCTATGGATATTTAGGGTCACGTCATTTAATTAATACGATCACATTATTTTTCACGAACAATGGAAAGATGTTATTTGTTAAATTAAGGTATATACGTATTACTGCGTGTACACACTGGTTCGTTACAGGGAAAATTGTACAACAAAGCTCGTACAATTGGATAAAACTGTAAACTATAATTAAATCTAACGATAAATTCGATAGCACATTAGTAGCAAACACGCATCCATATATATATATATCCGAGACTTTGAGATAGAAATTGATTCAACTGCGTTTCATATTTTTGTTCCATTGGAACATTTATAGATCTTTATTATTTGACGTGTTACTCTTATTTTTTTCACGTAGAATTTATTGACAAAATTTGTACGAGGCGAAAACTGGGGCGTCCTATATTTCTTCCGACACCTATTCATTCATTCATGAACCCATGCATTTATACCACCGTTTTCATAAATAAACTGGACACTTTGATCGATTTGCGGTAATAAATATTTTAATCTTATCAAAAACGCGCGTATCAAACATGAGTTAATAATTGATATTTATTTCCTTTTTACATCGTCGCTGGACCAAGTTATTTAAATTATCCGCTACACGATTTACCTAATCAAACGGATTCTAACGCTTTCATCTCGAAACTCTTTCATCCAATTTTCCTCGCTTCGATCGAGGTTCACCAATCGTCGATTAATCGGTATTTGAAAGAGGAAAAAGCTTTGAGGTCGCTTCACGATCGAATCGATAATACCAACCCGTTCGAAAAGTGTACGGCTATTATTATTATTATGGAGGGGGAAAATGTCAAGGAACAAAGAATCTGGTCCCAAGTGGAAATCCGTGGGTCGAGATTCGGCCCATAGGTAACGGGGCGCAAATTCGACAATAATCCACGGGCCAGGTAAGGTTGGAGTAAAATCGCGAAGCTTAATGGTGGTAATACCGCCGCGGCCGAGCCTTGTATGACGTTAATAATGCAGCATATTGAGATTGGTTTCGCTACGGGAACACGGGGCCAGAGCCACAGGGATCTGACCTAGGCATCAACCCAACTTATTCACGCCGCTTTAATAATACACCCGCCAATGTGCACACGCCGAGCTAACCCGCCTAATGCAAAGATTAGATTCGAGTGGAGCCGCTATTCTCCAGGATCGAGGGCCCTCTCAATGTTTCCATTCATTTTTCGAGAAACAACGCTTTTTCCGAGACAACGATAGAATTTCGCCGCTTAGATATCTCTTTCGAGAGTTGGAATTGAAGATAATCTTTTTTTTTTTTTTTCTTGTTTGTAAAAAAAAAAATAGCGCTTCGATATAACTCAAAAATCGAAGAGTCTTCGATCGAGAATTTTCTTTCGTTATTCCTTTTTCGAGACGGAGAAAAGGAATGCTTTCGTGTGGATCGATAATAGAGTTTAGGAGTTTAGAATTATACATATAATTTATAAGTCACTTTAATACATACGATACAATCTGAGGAAAATAAGAATAATGTGTATAGTGTATAAGTCGTTTCATTTTCTCAAATTATATGCATACACGGAAAGAAGAATCGTTACGAAACAAAAAGAAGTTAAATACTTAGAAATTTATAAAAACAAATACACATATGAAAAATTAAGCATTATTGAAAAGTGTGACTGAAAAAATCGCGTTCCTCGAGAAATTACGAGTTTTTAAACTCGTAACAGGATAAATGGATGGGGTGGATGGAGCGATCGAGGTCGGGAATCGGAAAGAGATTTAACCATGGCACAAAACGGATGTCGTTAACGTATCGAGGATGTACGGTAGTCGATCGTGGGGAAACGTGTCCCCTCGAAGGAATCGAGACAACGTTTCTACTGTTCTCCGACCGAGCGTGAAGCGATCGATATCGACCCCCGTCCAAATTGTTTGGATTACAAGAGCAAACCCCTTGATCTCCCGTGAAATTTAACGATCGAACACGAAATTTAAATATCTCATCGTACGGCTCCGTTTCGTTTCCGACCAATTGATTACGAATTTTCATCGATCGTGGTTATTCGAACGATGCGAGCGATTTTAACGGATCGATTCGAAAGTAAGAAAAAAAATACACGGATAAGAAGAAGAAGAATTATTTCGATGAAGAGGGAAGCGTCGGAGAGGACTTACGTGATATCGATAGAGGGGGCTTGAAGTGCAATGTATTCAATGAGCCTCTCACCTTCTTTGTTGGCGCTGCTCTTGATCTCCGTGGCTTTCGGCGCAGCCGATGGTTTCGGAATTTCTGAAATAAAAATTTTCTTTAAGGATCGACTCTTATTCGAACCTATTCGACCCATTTTCGATCATCGATTCGAGTTACGAATGCTACGAGACAACGAATTTCGATTCAAGAATTATGATTTACAAGACTTATGATTAACTTGGAACGATTGGCTGTACTTTTCGTAATCGATTCAACAAATAATGTTATTGAGAAACTTACTTGAAGAAATATCTCATCAGAAATGAATTTAAATTTTTAATATGAAAAATTCTCGATCTATTCTTTAATTAATTCATATTTTTCTATTCATCGCCTCTTTCGTTATTCACAAATGATTCATCTTACCGTATAACCTGATCGAGCCCTCTGTCTCGCCCAGCGAGTTCTTGCTGATGCAACGATAATTGCCGAAATCACCAGCCTGCAAGTTCCTTATGGTCAGCCTCATGTACGCCCTGTAACTGTTCTCCATGATGCTCGTCGTGTACTTCTCGTTGGACAGTATCATCTCCTCGCCGAGGAACCAGTAGCTCATCGCCCGTGGATAAGCCTCCGTGTGACAATCGATCGTTACGTTCGTGCCAGCTGGTGCACCGACCAGCTGATTCGGCACGAAGATCATCGGCGAAACTTAAACATCGAAACGAAGGACTACGGTTATTATGGTCCATATTCGGCAGATCCGTCGAATGAATAATCGTTCGTAGAGAGAGAGAGAGAGTTCGAGGCAACGATTAAGTCGACGTGGATGTGGAGGGACTGCTGGTTACGTCCGTTCCGCGATTTATCTTCCACGAAATCACTGACCATGAATTATACCGAGCTATTGCCGCGATTATGGAGATCGATAGTCGACGGTGGTGAAGCTTAAAGCATTGTGGAAAGTGCATCTTAAATTATTGGTTATTGTATGGTTCATTTACGGACTATAATTTATTTTCTCGATTTGCTCGAGAAATTTTAACGGATGAATTATGATTGCTGGTTTGAAGACGAGAACTTGGTCGAAAGCGAAAAGAATATCTTATTATCTCTGAACCGTTATTCTTTCACAAATGAACATATTTATCGCGTAACTTATCTCATAAAATTGAACTCCATTAAAATTAGGAAAAATGTAAAGAACGAGCGATCGTTAAAAATCGTGGATCCTTTCCCTTTAAAACTCTTTTTGATTTATCCCGATACGACTTCCGGTTTCCGAGATATCCTCGTGTAAAGAAAAGTGTAACATTCAATTCTATATTTCAACCTCGATTAAATCCTATTAAAATTAGGAAAACTTTAAACCGTTATAACTCCGAAGATAGCGACTTCCGGTCAACGAACGAGCGATCGTTAAAAGCGTGGATCCTTGCCCTTTAAAACGCTTTTTGATTTATCCCGATACGACTTCGGTTCCAAGATATCCTCGTGTAAAGAAAAGTGTAACATTCAATTCTATATTTCAACCTCGATTAAATCCTATTAAAATTAGGAAAACTTTAAACCGTTATAACTCCGAAGATAGTGACTTCCGGTCAACGAACGAGCGATCGTTAAAAGCTCGGATCCTTGCCCTTTAAAACGCTTTTTGATTTATCCCGATACGACTTCCGGTTTCCGAGATATCCTCGTGTAAAGAAAAGTGTAATTTTTAACCGTTTACCATCTCCATCCTTGTCGCTTGCTCGGATCTCTCGCTCGCACTTATCTCAAATTCCAGACAAGCGACAGACGCGATTCCTGGAAGGACGTAGTACGCGATTCTTGGAAGGACGTGGTCGCCCATTCATAATCTCTGCCTATATTAAACGCTATGGAAACTTTCATTCCTTCGTATCTCGGCAACCGATTGAGATATCGGGATAAATCAAAAAAGGACTTCAATGGCACGTTTTCTTTTATTTCCTGAGTAGGTTTTGATGACAAAATTTTCGTTTCTTTTTACAGATTTTTTCACACGAAAAGTCGAATTTTCGCGAATAAAATGATCGACATATTTTTTGTACACTAATCAAATATTTGAGCACTACACATTTTCAATTACATAAAAATCCGGACTCTAATTATGAGATAATAGAATCGTATCATATTCATTTCTTATTCAACACTAAGTAAATGAAAAATTTTTTTTTTACAGTTTTTATTTTTCCAATCTGAGCAACGCTGCCAATGCTACCGCGCAACATTAAAAGTATTTATTAAATACATTTCTTCAAGATGTATATTTTCAGATGTTTATAAGAATACGAAAGAGAAGAGAAGCTTTAGTCCTAATTCCACCCTGATCTAAAAATTCAAGCGTCGAAATGGATAGCGAAGAAGAGAAGAGAAGAGAGAGAGAGAGACTTTCGGCCGGGAGCAATAACGCGGTGTTGTTTAACGCAATCCCACTATATCTTTTCGTTTCCATCTGGCAAATAGAGTTGGCCAGAAACAATTTCCCGACTCGCGAGTCTCTCTCCACTTCTCGCGGACCGCTCCGTTGCAAAGAGGTTGCAGGTGAAAAACTTTCCTTTCCTCCGCGACCAAGTTTTGTTTCAACCGTGGAAGAACGAACACAGGAGCGTTGATGCACCTTGTAATATTCTCCTCCCACTCTTCTCTTGGAATTGATCAAATGTAAATATTTGTCCCGGATAGCTGTGTTTCTACCACGTGGAAAATAACCGTCCACAGTTTAATTCGAGCGGAATAAACGCGGAACTCGAGGGAAAACTTTGTCGCGGTTTCGACGAAACCTTGGATTAGAAGAATATGTATATACATATATACCGTTATAGAGGCCAATCAACGGAGGTAAGGTCGAATTGCACGATCTCTGAGGTGGCTGGGCCAGAAAGGGACCTAGAATTTTTCCCCTGGCTGATCGAGGGATCCTCAGTATTCAAGCCGTTTGAACAAGTTATTTGGGGCAACCTCGCCGAGAACTTGATTAGAACTGGCGCAAAGCTAGTTTAGAGATTAATCTCAGGGATGCAGGTCGCGTAATTCGGCCAAGCTTTCGCGTCATCGGTGACTTCCTAAGCAAATTCGACGGGTCGACCCGACGTTCGACGAGTTTCTCTGCCTTCCCAGAAATAGAACCATTTCGACTTGATCGGGCCATTTAACGAGAACTGTATTATTTCCAAACGTTTCAGCAAACTGAAATTTCATCCAATTGTTACTCTTCGAAACTATTTTTCGATTCAGAATATTATCTCGAACGAAGCCGATATCTAACTCGTGCCTAACGAAAGCTTTAAATTCTTGAACTTTGTCGTCTTCGTTGTCTTCACAATTCTGACTTGGAACAAATGAATTTCTCAGCTCAAAAGATCAAAAATCTCGTTCAACTTCAAACACGTTAAAAACACTATTTCTAAAAATAATGAAACGTTAGAATCAAAAAGAAGATCATAGATCAATGGAGTACGATTAATCGCGCGAAGATACGCGAAAGTGGGCTCGGTAGGGCAAGAAGAAAACTGGCGAACTTGGTTAACCGTAGACGAATAACAACAGGAGCAGGCGGTGGTTGCAACTATCTCTCGAGGTCGGCCATTGGCGGTATGCATCAGGCTTCCCACAAATCCACAAATTGCCAGCGCAGGCCCTAATTAACGCATACTTCTCCCGATTTCCCACAATAGACTCTATCCACGCTCGCCGGACGTCGGCCCTTCTGTTTCCACCTGTCGGCCAACCTTCTCCTCCTCGCCTCGAATCCTTCTTCCTTTCCTTCCAGTCATTCCTCCCCAAGAAATTAATCCATCCATCCGTCAGCTCGCTCGACGAATCTCTCTTGAGTGTATATATATATATATACACGAGATCGAGCCAGTTTGGATTTTTCACGATCATCCCGAGATTACGAACTCGATATGCTCGGAACAAAGCGACGGTCCCTCGTAAATATCTAGAAACACGGGAGAGATAAAACGAATACCACCATGGAATAAAACTGGAATGGAGGAACCACCGCGTGGTGGATTTACTCTTCACTTTACTGGAAAATGAACTTGCTCGTCTTTTTATAAAAAGGACCCTCTTCGTTCAACGGCGTCTTAATTATCCAAACTCGGGACGTGGCCGTTAATTAGCCGAGGCGAGGGGTTTGTTGGTTCCACAGTTCTCCTTCCAGTTATCGCGTAATCGAGCAACAAAACTAATCCGATTCTTCCGGTTACCTTACCTTCGACTTCTTCCCTCTCCTCCCCAAGTAAAACGAGATTAAAGGAGTTTCGCGAACGAAAACCATCCGCCACCACCCCATGAATTCAGAGAAGTGTTTCAAGTCGAAGGAAAAATTAATGCTCCCTCATATTCCCGTTTCTTCTTCTGTTTTTCCTTCGTTTCGAGGAAAAGAGATCACGAAAGAAAACGAATCAAGAACGCTCACTCGCAGGAAGAAATCGTTGATGTGCTTCACCTCGCTTCGACCTGTTCCAAGGTCGGTTTGTATAAATTTGTATAATGCGAGGGTTGGTGGAAAGCATTAAAGCGGGACGGTCGCGGGACTTTTGTAATCCGGCAAGGACACCTCGGATCCGCGCGTTGATCGAATATCTTTTTCCGTGGACCCACCCCGGTAATCCGAGATAACCGTTTCACCCCTCATTTTTCACTCGCCGCAAAAAAAGCCCATTCTCCACGCTTTACCGCCCCTTTTATCGCCGCCCTATCGAAATGATTATTTTTTTTTTTTTTTTTTTTAGTCTCCACGATACGAGCGAGGAATATTTTCGATTTTCGCTTCGATTTCGTTTGAAAGATTCGAGCAAGGGTAAAGAAGCTAGTCTTCAATTCTGATGTTACTAATTAAGCGTTGTTCACATTGAAATTTTTATCTTTACTCCTAACTTTTACTCGTGAAACGAGTACGAAAAGTTTATCGAAATTAAAAGCTATACTTTACTCTACACGTTGTGAACGGAATAAAAAGAATAAGAGAAAGGTATCCAGAGATACACGAATAAGATTATAGCTATAGAATGGTGATAAAATAAGGAAAAAGTGAATCTTGGAATCGTGAACAAAGAAATATATTTCTCTCGAAAACCGTAGCAGCCATTTCTATCCTTGGAAAGCGATTGCTCGATAAATGTCGGTTTATATATATCGGAAATATCACCACGAGAGGGGGTTTATTTCGTGGGATCGATGGAGAAAGACAAGAGAAAGTTTTCAGTTTCAGGGACGGAACCGTTGACTCGAAACCGCGCGACATCTTTGAAGAAAGATGAATATCTAAGATACGCACGCACAAAAGATGTCTCGTTCGCGATCGAAGCGGAAACCGAGATTATCTGGTGCACTCGGATAAAATATGTCTTCCCTAAGCACTCAAAGGAGCGCCACTCTGCCCCGCGGTGTCGTTTTCCTTTTTGCCAACACACCGTTGAACAAAGGGGGTTGTGCAAGTGGCGCCACTAGAATACGTGAAACGAAAATCTCTACGATATAATCTGGATTAAGGAGAAGGAAGTGTATTCTCTGATGTTTCTGGATGGGCGGTCGACCCGGAATAAATTGTTTCGAAACCATCCAGAAAGGGATTGCAACGTTTCGCTCTCCCAAAGGAGACAGTCTCTCCCTCTGATTTTCTAAAGAGCATCGTAACAGCTCATTGTCGTTGTTCTTATATTTTGTGATAACAATAGTTATATAAATGCAAATAAATTCGATAAATTGTTCTCCATGAACACGGGAAGAGATAGAGTTAAAGTGGAAATTGTTCGATTGTTTATTGAATTATTTCCTCAAATTATTTATACAAATACGCGCGATTCATCCGCTAAAATTTCGACAAACTTTCCTACTACTTCGATCAACGCGAGTCGATCCCATTTCTCGTTACGTCCAAGACATTGATCCACGTTGATCTAATTTGCCTGGTGGACGCGACAAATTGGGCAGAGGATCGAGGCGGGGTCGAGGAGAAGCGGTAAAAATTATTCAAACGCATCGTGGCGAGGCGAGGCGAAGGCGGAGAAGAAGAAAAGTGGCGGTGCGGGAGGCGGAAACGGAATGTTCTAAATAAAATATGTCCGCGCCCTTCTAAATATTCAAAGGGCAGAGCGCTGGCTTGTCCCTTTTCCCGCTTCTCACGGTTGTTGCGCCCCGTACGCGCACAAACATGGCGTCAAGTGACACGAACGGATGGAACGCATAAAAGGGAAAAATGACCAGCAGCAGAGGGACTCGCGCGCTCGACCTGCCCCGCTATTTCCCTCGGGTTCTCCGTAACGACGCATCCGCTCCACCTGTCCTTTCCTTCTTTCCTCGTCGAAGAAGGATCCATGGTGGGTCGCGAAATTTAAAACGATATCGAAGAATTCTTTTTTTTTCCCCGTGAAATTTGGATCGAATCGAAGGAATTATGTTTAATTAATGGCGATGATTTATCACGTCTAGTGAAAGTAAACGATTATTGGATAATCTCTTTTCTTAAATACGATAAAAATAAAGAATAATGTCTTTGAAATGTGAAATATCGTCGTTTACTTGAATGCTTTGAAAAGTAATATTATAATACGAAAATAATATTATAATTCAATTATCATCTCATAATAAATTAAATACATATTAAAATAGAATTATTTTATATAATTATATCGATTTTTTATTTTTTTTTTTTTTATTTTCTATAGTTCGTGAAACTAAATATTTTTTGGTTCGACATTTCAGAATTGTATTGTAAGACAAGATAAGACAAAAAAACTATTTAACATATAAAACTGAAAGCTAACATTTTAACGTATTACTTAAAAAAAAAAAAAAAAAAAAAATTGAAGGTGTTTCTACGTGCTCTTTTATTTTTACAAAATATAAAAATATGCAAGAAAAAAATTTTATGCAGTGATGATATTGTGAATAAAAAAAAAAAAGAAAAGACACAAAGATGGTGTAAAAAAGACAATGATAATAAATATTAACGACAAAATCATAAATGAATCGTAATTATCCATCATAATTAAATTTACGATAATTTTGTCGATCGGAGAAATGATTGCAATGAGGGAACATTATTGAATTTCTTGTCGATCTAATTATAACCGTTATAATTGATGATTTTCGATGATTCTGCTTCATTTCGATATCGATTCATCTTATTAACCAAACCGGATGAGAATCACGCGACAAACGCGTAATCTCAAATTTTTTAGTAATAAAGAAGAATTCCAATAACAAACTGAAGCAAGAAAATTTATCGAACCATTTCAAAACTCTCATGATCCCTTTATACTTCCCATTCCTTCTTTCCTCAATAAAACAGAAACTTCTCATTTTCTTTTTTTTTTTTTTTTCGTTACTTGAACCGCGTATCTCCAACAGAGGAAAAATCTTTCGTTCTTTTTTTCGTTCCAAAAAAAGCAAACAACAGACGACGAGAGATTTTTTTTCTTTTTTTTTAAAAATCGCGTGGTGAACGCACGCGTAGGGACACGCTCGTTTATCTTGACTCTTGCTCGCCTATATGTATATATCCTTGAAATCCACTCACATTCGACGTCCACGGTGATCCTCTTGCTGACTGTTGGCGGGACTCCATTGGTCGCGATGCAGAGATACGCGCCCATTTCATTGCGCGTGATCCTCGTCAAGTTTAATTGCTCGCCATCGTATATGGACACTGAAACCAAAAGCAGAAATTGATTCAGCCCGGTCGGCCGTGCAAATATAGTGTACCGGCCGGAACAAACACGCCGCGTTCGACATAAACGTACAAACAGGATCCTCCGAAGAGAAGAACCCGGCACAGGTTTTATCGGTGAAACTTTCTCGGTTAAATGAAACCCTTTTTCCGCAGCTTGATTGTAAAAAAAAAGGAGAGGGGGAGAAGAGAGAGAGAGAGGAAGGGACAAAGGGCGACGAGAGAGGGTAAACAAAAAAAGGGGGAGAGATGGAGAACCCCATTGGAGCACACATCAATCTACGAAGCGAATTTTCCTGTCCTCCTTTTTATTATTCCTGCTGTCCCACTTGTTTGTCCCCCTCCCTCGATCGATTTATTCGACGAAATAGCGCGTTCAACTTCTTGAAATTTTCGAGCAACCTGCTCCGACTCGACTTGCAAAAGCTTGATGTAAAATGGAAATATATGCTATTTAAAGCTATTCAAATCCGATATACGTTTAACTGCGGGTGTTCTTACTTCATTTGTGAAGTGCTTGAATAAAATCAACGAGAATAGATTAACGTTTCTATGTGTTTCGCGCGAGAAGATTGCATATGATAAACAGGGAAGAAATATTGTGAATTTAAGCGGGGCCTCGAGAAGCTGGAAAATCGGTAAACAAGGGTGGATGGTATATATATACAATCGAAAGAAGGAATCTTTTCCAAGTTTAATCCGAGAAAGGTTCGAGCCCAACTTTGGGAAACAATCCCGCCGCGGTTAATACAAGGGGGCCCCGACTGCAACATCCCACCTACCTACGTTCGAATAATTTTTAAGCTCGAGGACGAGCAGTCGCGTAAAAAGTTAGCGCGGTATAAAAGTTGGTCCGAAAGTGCGGCGGTAAAAAGACGGCGAAAGGGAGAGAGAGAAAAAATAAGGTACGCGGTCTTTTTATCGGGGCGAATATACAAAAAAAAAAAAAAAAAAAAAAAAGAAAACGAAAAAACTGTCGTTCCATTTCCAAGTCGTTAAGCCGTCCTTCCCTGCGAAATCATCTCGTTGCGGCGAGAGAAAAAGAAGAGAGAGAGAGAAGAGGAAGAAGAAGAGGAAAAAGAGGAGAAGCCGTGTGAAACCGAGCTGCGCACCGATTTCGAAAGATTCGCGAAGCGGATCCGGTAAACGAACACTGGATGGCGTTGAAATTACGATTTCAAAGGCGTTAACGTCGTACTCGAATCGGTTTCCCTCGAACCTGTTTCGTTTACGACGATATACGAGCGGCGGCGATTCGATGCCCTCGTCGGTGAGGTATGGGGGGGAGGGAAGAAGGAGGGAAGAAAGGATAATAAGAAGAGGATAAAGAGAAGAAAAGAGGAGGAGGGTAAACCGAGAATGAATGATAGTAGGTCACGAGAAAAAGGGTTAATAATTATTATTATTATCATTATCGTAGGAGAAAATGGATCGTTCTTTTTTTCCCTCGCGGAAGACAAAATGGCGCTCCGCGTTCATTAGCCTGACGCGAGCGTCGTTAGGTTAACGTCAGGTTATACGAATGACTCTCTCTTTCTCTTTCTCTCTCTCCTTTTTTCTCTCTTCTTTTTTTTTTTTTTCTAAGGAAAAAGAGAAGCGCAAAAATTACAATTATTGATGATAAAATTTAATTGCGTTCGAAGAACGGAAATTAACTTCATTTTGTAAATATGTATTTGTACCGTGGCAACGCTTCTAATTAACGGGCTCTTTGTTCGGAAAGGAAGCGCGTTTATTAATGAGAGAGGAACTCGTACGAGGAACGAGCTCGGCTTTCTTCCCTATAAAATTGGCTCGTCGATTATTTATGTCGAAATAATTGTTCGCATCGCGAGCGCTCGGTTTTTAAATTAATATCTTTTGCAATTTATTGGAAATGTTTCGTTCGTTATAAGGGTGGAAGGAATATTTCGCGTTCGAAATGCGGGGGAGAGGGGAGGGGGGAGAAGAAAAATGAATATGCAAGGCAATTAACGAAATGCCAAAAAGGTAAAGTTTGGATAGGTTTCAGAAGCAGTGGATACAGTTGCGATTGTTTAATTTACATTTCCTGGTCTGGAAAAAGTTGCAGCCTCTACTTGGATAATTCTTATAACCACCGTGAAACCGAGGTTTTCTCGATTCCTTAGCACTGCGTCTCTCCATCTCGTTTCAAACTTTCTTCGATTCGCAAGGGTGAAGCGATTGTACTTTTCCGTGTTTAAACATCAAATATTGTTAAAATATGCTCCTTCCATTTCCTCGTTCCGGGAAGGGACAGGAGGAAAAAATATTTCCACAGGGATTACGGAGCGGAGGCTGGGTAGCCGGGGCTTCGGTTTCTTACGACATTTATCCGTGAAAATAATTAATGAGAGCGTCGATGAAAGTCGATAAATTAAGAAAGGAGAGGATCTTTTTTTCTCTCTTTTTTTTTTTTTTTTTTTTTTTTTACGTATCTACCGACAATATCCGATCCAACTTTTTCCGCGCGACTTGTTACCGTTCATAAATCTTTTTATTCGATTCATCTCGATTACATAATAGAACATAGCTCGCTCGAAAGTATCCCAAGTTCATTATCTTACAAGGAAATTTATTTAACCTGTGTATTATATATCTTATACAAAAAATTTCATAAAATTATAATCATAATATTGCTTTTTCATGATTCTTCTTATACAAATTTAAAATTCGATAAAATCTCTAAAAATTTTTTTTTCGACCCTTATCATGGATCATATTAAGAGAATGAACCAAGAATTTGTAATGACAATCAATCAAAGACTTCACGGATAACATAGATTTATTTAATCAATTTTCTTTAATATTATTTTTAATAAAGTTACGATCAAAAATCTTGAAAAATTCTTCGATTTCAACATTTGCAATAATTCAATAATCCTTCTCATATTTTATACGATATTATATTTAATTTTTCGTCGACAGTTAAAAACATCGGAATACCTTCGCCAATCAAAATTTCTTTGAATATTTTTATTATTCTCCCTTCCTTTTTCCAAATCCACGTCTGAAACAAAAAACAATCTGCACGCCTCGCGTTTTTCCATCGTATGGTATAATCGCGTGGCCGCTTGTTTTCCTTCGAAACGATATATATATATATATACTCCATCCAATCGGCGATCTTTGGAAAACAATCACGAGGCAACACGAATCCCCCAAGCGGACAGATGAAATCCCGCGGCACCCGTGCGCTTCGAATCGCCAATCTCCTCTTTTCACGGCCCGTTCATAAATCTTTACGTGGCTTTATTCCGGCTTTACTCGCCTCCTAGTCGCGATTAACCCTCCGCCCATTAGAGCGTCCGGGGAACGATGTTTCTTTCACGAGACACACGCCCTGCCAAACTGTCTTTCCGCGTGTACGACAACCGCCAACACGTCGCTCGTGTCGTCCGCCAACCAATCGTGTCCGATACCCTCCTCCCGAATAATTGAGAGGTTATCCTGAATTTTCTCCGCTTCCTATCATCCTCCCCTTCCCCAAGATGACGTTTCACGACGCTCGTCCCCTCACCTTCCATCCGTGCGAACGAAAAAAGAAAGATCCGTGATTTTTTTTGGATTATTTTTATGTGGTGCGGATACAAGAGTGAAGCTTTTTAGAGTTGTTCCTGAGATCAGATCTGAGGAAGTTGAAGAGAAGGCAGTGGAGGAAAGGATCAGTAGTGGATCGATGGTGAACTGGCTGTCGTGAGTAAATTCTGAGAGTTTTACTCTAAACTTTAACCCTTTACGCGAATGAGGGCGAATCGAAGTACGAAGGGAGAAATTTTATGAAAGGATGAAAATCGTTGCGAGTTCCATTCCCGAAAAGATTCGAAGGGAGGAAGAAAAGGAAGGAAAATTTCCCCCTGGTTACGAAAATATTCGGACATATTGTTCGACACTCGTTTATCGAACATTAGAGTGGAAACGTAGCGATCGTTACCCTTTTATCAGAGTACGAATATCGACTTCCTATACAAGTTTATTTCACTATTCGCTTCATTCTCTATTAATGTATTCGTCTATTGGTAGCGGAAGAGTGTTTAGGGAGGAACGGTTGGTTCAAAAGCCGAGAGGGATGCAAATCGATACATCGAGCGGGGGCGGTTTGCTAATAGCCATTTCGAAAGAAGAGTTTCATTGAAATTTTTATGCTGCATAACAGCAGGCGACAGGCAGAAACTTCATTATCGGTGTGGCTGGGCGCAGCGCGAAAGAATATCGTTGGGAACTTGTTTCAGGGTTCGTTTTAACGTCGTTTTTCCCCCAAAGTAATGCAATTTCTATCCCACCGGAATGCAATACTGGTGACGAATAACCGCGGTACGTGAACAAAAATTGCCAACAAAGATTAATTTTTATTCCCTTTCCTCCTCTTCCCCATAAAGCTTTGTTCGAAAAGGATTACTCGGAGGTTTCGTTTAATTTTCCAGAGCGATTATGTATCCTTTTCTATTTCGAGTTCAAAACGAACAGCTGCGCCAAGACACCGATCGCTTGGATCCGTCTTAACGACAGATGGATAAAATTTTTAAATGGATTATAAAGGAAGTTGGGAATAAAGTTACTTACAAGTAAGAGTAATTTATTATTCAATGCATCGAACAATCGCACAGTTTAACGAATGAGGTTATATAGAAAACTCATATTGAAGATAATTACAATAGAGACGAATAAATGTTGTATTTTAAATAATAAAATTATCATTCAAAGTAATTTCATTCCAAATTTTAATAACTAATTAATTTCTCAATCCTTTTAGCGTTCAATTCTGTTCTTAATCTATGAATCCACGAGTGTTATATAAAGTCGAATGAGCGAATGAGAGAAAGCAATTGATATTTTCTTGTCGTGTAAGTTTAACGTTGAATACTTTATTATTAGTTGTTATTACATTATGTTTTTATATTGTTTTATATTGTTACATTATGTTTGAATAAAAGATATTAATTAGAAATATATGAATATATATTCGTCTGTTTTTTTTT